CTGTTGTGTTTCGTTTAATGCACCTTATAGTCCGGTGCGGTTTATATGTGAAAAAAGTTTGAAAAATAGACCATTCAATGACAGTGCGCCTTATAGTCCAGAGCGTCCTATAGTGCAGAAAATACGGTATTTCTGAGCTATAGAATCCCTATCACTGAATACAAGCAAGATAAGTTTAATGCCATACTGTGGAACATTCCAGAGACAAGTAAGAAGCCGACCCTCCACCTTAGAAGTTACATACTGAAACTACTTTTACTTCGTTACATTCCAGCACTGGTAAAAATATACAGACTCTTTGTGAAAAGCGTGTGAGCGAGGTGCTTGGTGCATTTGTGGACAGCTTTTCTCTGAACTGGATTTACCGAAAATGAGATTACGCTGTTTGTTCCGCTGTTTAGACACTTTCAATCCACCTGAAAAACTCATCTGAACATTTTTGCGCGGCTCTTCTCGATTTGAGTGAGGACCGTCTCAGATTGATAGCGTGAAGAACTCAAATCACAAGTACTACACAACAATCTGCCAGGATAGAATATCAGAGAATATCAGACGTGAGGACAAAACCCAGACACAGGCTTCACACAGTACAGGAAATTAACCTTAGAACTTCTTGATTTTATTAAGATTATAGAATTTGGTTTGAACCGCAGAGCTACAGAAAGTACAGATAACAAGCAAGAACACAGTCAAAAGTTTGGACTCTGTTTAGTACTTTTGACATTTATACATACATACAAAACATCAAATCTTTTTTTACTAAATAATTCCATATATCTTGCCTCATATATTTGATGTCTACTTTATATATATAAAATGTAGAATGCGTAGAAAATATAGGAAATGGTAAGAAAAAAAGGAAAAAAATGGATGAGAGCTTTTGATTGGTGCTGTTTAAACATACAAGAAAAATGTTTGGACACACCCTTTTTTTTTTCTTACCATTTCCTATATTTTCTACACCTTCGGAAGTACACGCCCATGGACCACTATGATGTTACACAGATATAAGGCCACATGGTAATATAAAACAAAGTGCTACCTACAACTGAATGGTAAAATTACATTCTATTGTCTAAATAAGTGTTTTTTTTTTTTTTTTTTATCACTGTGGTATCGGAATCAGTATTGAGCATCGTGTCTATTCCACAGTCTGTAAAAAGAAGTGGACTAAGGGAGTGTGACGTCACCAATAGTGTTCAGCTCCAGTCAAATGAAGCAAATGAAATGGTTAAAGGGCAAATTTGGAGCAGAGTTCCATATTAGGAATAGGAATTTAATTATGGATAAAACAAAAACAAACAAACAACAAAAAACAAAAACAAAAACAGGATCATGTAGAGCTAAGACCAAATTGTCAAAGCTCACCGCAAAAGTTACAGAGAGAGGAGTGACAATTTTCCAATGTAAAGTCAATTTCGCCAGGAAGGAATTCATGAAAATTGTGCACTTCTGGAAAAGTTTTAGATTTTTGGCAGGGTGTTAGGTATGGGCCTAAGGTTTTCAAAAATCCATGGATACATGTTGGGGCCGGTGTACATAAAATCCAACATGGCACCCGCCGAAAAGAGAAAAGGTTATATCTTCGCTTCCTTTAGTGGATGGAGCCAGAAACACACCCATGAACACCAGAGCGTGGAAACCTGATCAAAGTCCGACGGGAAATATTTAGAACTTATGTTTGGGACTGGGTTGGACTCTGACACATCAGTTTCCTTTCTACAGTAAAACCACTCACTTTGAGACTCTTTTAAGTGTTCAAAAGATCAGAGCACTGCACTTCTAGTTTAGATACATGTCAAAATTTAGTTTTTATTTGTGAGTTATTTGAGTTATTATTATTTGTGAAATGTGGTGCAGTATTTCAGCTACGTGAAAATTTGTAAAGCATAGAGCAAAGAGTGGCAAAGAACACAAGAAGTAGAGTCAATATCGTGAATCTGCAGCTTCACCTCGATCCGTGTGCTGTGTGGATGTAAACAGACATGTGAGGAACTACTCTTGCCTTTTTACTTTCAAAGAAGGACTCAAACTGGATTAATAGAGCGGTTTTGTGGACTGGATGTCATTATTTGCGGAGGACAGTTTCTATGGATAATGTGGATGAGATGCTGCAGTTTAAATCGACCACTTTACGAGAGGTGAGTGAGTTGTATTCTCATTATTTTCGCTCTATTCCGAGTTTGTATTTTGCGTCTCTGTGTCCGTTAGAGGCCACACAAACAATACCCTACATGTGTCATTAGTCGGCCTGTGAAAATATTGTGATTTTAATTGTATCGGGTTCACAAATATCTTAATGTCGATCAGGCTTGTGTCACTAGGCTTTTTTTTACTACTACTGCTGCATTTGTCTTGTAGAAAATGCTGAAGTCAATGTGCTTCTTGGTTCTACACACATTCACACACACAGTAGAGGATGAAATACGCCCCAACAGTTTGACAGGTCACCTCAGCAGGCACAAGCTTTTAGATGTTCTCAAACTTTTACCGACTAAATGAGAAAAATGGAGCAGGGGGAAGGTCTTTTCAAAATCTACACAGCTGTTTTACCCTTCACGTACGAGAAATCGATATAGGAGTCAAGATAACCGGTGTAAGGCCTATTTCAATGAGCAGACAGGAGCAGAGAGTGAGTATATGGTACAGAGGAGGGACAGTGAGTATATGGGTAGAATGATGGTGAAGCTAGACCTGCCTGGAAACAAGAGGCCAGAGGAAGATTTGTGGAGAAGGTAAGTACATGAGTAGAGCAGGTGCAGTGCTGGTGCCCACTGAACAATTGTGTCCCTCTGCGATGAAAGATTAGAGCTACTGGTCATGGGGCCAATCTCAGTAGTGGCTCTAAAAGATGTTCTGTGCGTCTCACAGTAAAACAGGGACAAAGATTAAACTTGGAACCAGTGCGCGACCAAAGAAGAGTTGTGATTGATGTCAAGCAGTGTCTGACTTTTTGGAATCTCTGTGTGTTTTCAGTCCATCTCTGTCAATAACAAACACGAGCACTCTGTCAAAGTCACAGCAGAACAGAGCAGAAACACAGCCAGCAGCGGAGCTAGTCTCAGCTCACAGGTGGCTTACCGACCAAGACCAAACAAGCTTTTACAATACTTTACAAAGACGTTTTGGCTCACAACTGTATTCTGTCTCCCAAAACTCAAATGTGATTGTCAAGGCGGATTAACTAATCTTAGAAGTAGATGATCTGTTCATATCAAAACAAACGGCGCACAAGTAAAAGAGAAATAACAAAACAAAACAAAGGACTGCAGCTGTTTTCACATGTGTCCTCTGTGGACTGACTCCAGGGCACTCTAGTTCTGTTTACTTCACTTTTGGGTGTTTTTTGTTCACATACACTGCACATCATTCACCCCAAACACACACTATGAGCCACATGAGAAGCATCTGTTCAGAGAACTTATTTTCATGACAACATGTTTCAAGTGGACACACAGAGCCACGTGAATATGCTTATATCTTCACTTACAGGTGTTCTTTTCTCTCACCTGAGGCTTGAGGCTGGTGTGGGTGGAGCTGCTCTGAGACCTCCTGGTTTGAAGCGCTCTCAGAGATTTGAATGTGAATGTGAATCAGAAATGAGACTGTCTTGTTCACACTGACCCAAGAGCAGCTCTCTCAGAGCAAATGCTCTTTTACATCCACCTAATAGTGACCGTGTGAAAACAACTTCAGAAACTGTGTGGGTTTTTGCAGAATAAAGCAAAGCTCTAAACAAGCAACAAACTCACTAAACTCCTAAATGTATCTGAGGGAAAAGAAGTAAAATATTTTCAATGGTTCATATTCTTCTGCTTTGAGAAGCACATGCTACAAGTCAGTGGTAGTGGATGGCACTGGTCTGGTTACAGATCATTCTGCATTAGAACAGGATGTAGGAGGGACTGGCTGCTCAGGCAACAGAACTGGCACCAGTTTGGTGACTTTACCACGCACAGACTGGAGTCTAGTACTCGCTCACACAAATGCTGCTCAGAGACACAATTGATTAAGCAACCTTCACAGAGTGCCTGTGTGCTGTCTTACAATTTTAATTCTTCACGTCGTGTAGTGTGACATCCAAAAATCTTTTAGGAGAATTATGGCCAGTCAAACTTTGGTGCACTGCTATGACAAAACCATATTCAGATCAAATGTTATTACCAAATACACACTGCCAGTCATTCTTATACTGATGATAGCCCTGGTAAAAGCAGTCCAGACCTGAATAAAGTGAATAATGAGAATTACATTTGAAATAATCCTTGTGTCTCACTTGTATACTTGTGTCTCACCTGTATACTTGTGTCTCACTTGTGTACTTGTGTCTCACCTGTGTACTTGTGTCTCACTTGTATACTTGTGTCTCACTTGTGTACTTGTGTGTCTACACTGTATACTTGTGTCTCACCTGTGTACTTGTGTCTCACTGTGTACTTGTGTCTAACCTGTGTACTTGTGTCTCACTTGTATACTTGTGTCTCACCTGTATACTTGTGTCTCACTTGTATACTTGTGTCTCACTTGTATACTTGTGTCTCACTTGTATACTTGTGTCTCACCTTGTATACTTGTGTCTCACCTGTATACTTGTGTCTCACTTGTATACTTGTGTCTCACCTGTATACTTGTGTCTCACCTGTATACTTGTGTCTCACCTGTGTACTTGTGTCTCACTTGTATACTTGTGTCTCACCTGTATACTTGTGTCTCACTTGTATACTTGTGTCTCACTTGTATACTTGTGTCTCACCTGTATACTTGTGTCTCACTTGTATACTTGTGTCTCACTTGTGTACTTGTGTCTAACCTGTGTACTTGTGTCTCACCTGTGTACTTGTGTCTCACCTGTATACTTGTGTCTCACCTGTGTACTTGTGTCTCACCTGTGTACTTGTGTCTCACCTGTGTACTTGTGTCTCACCTGTGTACTTGTGTCTCACCTGTGTACTTGTGTCTCACCTGTGTACTTGTGTCTCACCTGTGTACTTGTGTCTCACCTGTATAGTGACGATGCGTGGTAAAGGCTGCCTCGTGTTGGCTCCTCCCTCGATGGCGATGCCCAAAGTGTTGGAGTTTTTCAGGACCCGGACTAAGATCGCAGAAGCCATGGGGACTGGGGACATCAGCTGAGGGCCACACACACACACACACACAATAATGAGCTTGAGAATCTTTAAAAATATATAAATAAATCTTTCCTTTTTAAACATTTTTATATAGGGTTTTACCATAATGGAATGTCTGTTGAGGTGGTTCACATTTGGTTTGGCCCTGGTTTGGTCTTAGTCTAGTCCTGATGTGGATCCTGGTCTAGGCCTGATCTAGTCCAAGTTAAAATTTATCTCAATTGTGATGTCATGAGTAAATAAGGTAAATGAACCCTTCTCCAAACTGTGTGACCAAACCTCTTTGTTAAAAGCTAAGCAGAGTTGGGCCTGGTTTGTACTCGGATGGGAGACGTCAGGTGCCACAGTGGAGGAGGGTCGGTCTGCAGCATGGGCGTTCCAGATGTGCAACAGAAACTCCCTTATGGGCATTCCTGTAGCGTGTAATCAACCAGTCAGAAAGAGTTTTGTACTCTTCTCCTTTTTTGCATCTTCTTGGCAAAAGTCTATATCTACAGTCAAAGCAAAGCAGCAACACGTGTGTTTCACGAGAGGTTAAGTCCATAAGTATCTTTTAATTGTACAGTTTGAGCAATTCCATTTAATGTCATGTTAAATGTACATAAACAGAATGATGTTAGAATGTGATCAGACCCTCTTTGGTACATACGCTGACAATGAACGGAACCAAGTTAGTTAATGATAGTATGGCATGAGTTAACAACTAAGTTACTGTAACAGGTTGGCAACTATGCTTTTGGGAAACACTTTGGATAAAAGCGTCTGCTAAGAACATGAACATAAACCCCTGGGTTGCTGTAGAACTACGGGTATACGGCCTATCAATAGCTAAAGTCAAGACTCGTGCCATACTATCGTTAACTAACTTGGTTATTTTCATTGTCACCGTACCGGAGAAGGTCTGATCACATTCTAACATCATTCTGTTTATGTACATTTAAGATAAGCCTGGAATTGCTCAAACTGTACAAATAAAGGATACTTACAGACATAGCTCAAGTACAGCGTTAACATGAGTATTTGTCACAAATGCAGTTTTCCAAATGATTGCACTTACAGCAATAAACCTATTACTGTTCTGAAAATCCTGATTTTGAGAAGGAAAACAATGCACTGCACAACCCAACATTTTACTATGCAACATTCGGTGGCAGCTTAGCATTTAAACTTGACGTTCCTGCCTTTCTTTTACTATTTGGTTCAATCACAGACCTATATATTTATATCTATACATGTCTATAGGTTCAGTGCTAACGTCAATGTACAACTCTTACTTTATATATGTTAGCCGGATGTTGACAGTTCCTCATGGAAGGAGGAGAAGAAGAAACAGGAGGTGTTCCTGTTTAGGGAAGAATTTATGTTCCGTAGCTTACCACCGCCGAGTGTGGAGAGAATGAATGCACTAAATTGAAAAGTGAGCATCTGGAAAAGCACTATATAAAACTAACTGTAACATTTCTGAGTGTCTGGCACCTGGTCACACACTAAGACCAAGTTACTGGTCAGATCTGTCAAGAAATGAGGCCTCACAAATACAGTCATCCCTCGCTATTTTGTGGTTCAACTTTAGCGGTCTCACTGTTTCGCAGATTTTTTTTGTGTGCAATTTTGCATGTTTATGTTTTTTTTTTTTTTTTTTTTTTACAGCGTATGAATGCGTATTGTGTATTATGGGTGGGTCAGGACTAAACCAGGTCTAAACTAGGACTAATCTTGGACTTAAGAGAGAGAACCCTGAGCAGGGTGTCTGCAAAGCGCGATTGGGCAATTGCTGCGCTTAACTCCGTGAGGTGCGGAGCTGAGCCGGTCCTTTCTCCTGTGGTCCTGTTTTAGTTCTAGTTTAGGCCTGTTTTAGGTTAGTCCTGGGTTAGTCCTGGTTTAGTCTTGGTTTAGTCTGTGGCACATGCAGCGCAAAAGTTTGATATAATCTTGGGTTAACGGGCGGGTGTGGTGCTGTATTGTGTGTACGGTATTGTACTGCGCGGGTGCGATGCTGTACTCTGCGGGTGTGGGTCTCCAAAAATGGACCCATGCAGAACTCCATTTTGGAACAAATTAATCTTTGAGTCAATGTCGACGTAACTTTCTGCACTGTAAAAGGCTCCTGCAGTCACACCCAAAAGGCAGAGGAAGATTTAACCATCGCACAAAAAGATGTCTGGACATGCTGAAGAAAGGTAGATATGCAGCTGTAGGGCGCCATTATGAAATAAATTAATCTTCTACCTAATCTTCGTTACATAAAGGAGAAAAATAACATAAGGACGACAGCAGCAATAAGTTTTAAGAAAGATGCAAAAAGGGTTGTAACTGTCCTGTGTGAGAAAAGTGTATAAAGTGTGTGGTGACGGGGTGAGCCTTAAAACAGATATAATAATTGTAAAATATAAAGCTGACTACTCTGTGGATTTCACTTATTGCAGGTTATTTTTAGAACCTAACCCCCGTGATAAACGAGGGACCACTGTACATATTTTTCACAGAATGAGCAGTTTCTGAATTAATGCAAGTCAGATAAGTTTAATATCATACAGTGTGACATGCCAAGCAAAGTAATAACATCTCCATGGTGACAAACAGGCGTCATATTCTCCACCAGACAAGTTTCTAACACGTTTTATCAATTTCACACATTTTTGGCAATAGATCACAGTGTTACAAAATATTCAATTGTCCCACTTTCTTTGTGTGAGAAATGTTAATACAGGATGTTCTGAGACATAAATAGTGAGAGGAACGAGCTGAGATTGTGCTGATTCTGTCTGGAGGTAATGACACACAGAGAGGAGCCCATTAGAGCGTGAAATACGTCTTGTCCCACACTTTTCTTTGGTAATTAAAATGCTGAGAGAGCCGACCTGTGTCAAGAACAATCATCGAATACATCTCAAATCTAACACGCACTGAGAGCCTGAAGAATGGGCCTAATTCAACCAGGAAGGAGTTCAACAAAAACATCAAACAGGTACAATGAGGTAGACAGAAGAACGTTACATGAAAAAGAGGAGTGGTAATAGTGGAAAAGAAGATGGAGAGGCTGAGGAGGCTGGTGATTCTGCTGCAGGAATGAAAATGGGGGAGAGAGAGAAGACAGGAAGTTAAAAGATCACATGATAAAAAAAAAAAGTGTTTTGAAAATGACTATTCTGTTGTGAACAAAGTAAAGGTGTGTGTGTGTGTGTAATCTGTGTATCATTCATTCATTTGTTTTTCAATATAAAACCAACAATAAGAAAACGAAAAAACAACTATTTTCTTCATTATTTGTCTCCAAAACCAAAATGAAAAAACGGATAATGATTTCGTTTTTTCAGTTTTCGATTTTGTGTTTAAATGAAAAATGGAAAAAACAGATAACTCGTTTACGTGACTTCCGTGACTGCGATGCCGGACTTTTGCTTCACATACGGATAGAACCAGGATAGATCAAGGTCTGGGACCACACCGGGACCAGGCCAGGACCAGAGCGGGACCAGAGCAGACTCCGAGCTTTGACTCCGAGCCTCCGCAGGGTTCGAGCCTCAGCTTCGAGCTCCGGCCCTGCCGTGGGCTCTGAGCCTCCTGTCTCGTCCTGGTCTGGTCCCGGTCACAGTCCCAGTCTCAGTCTCGGTCTGGTCTCGGTCTGGTCCCGGCCTGGTCCTGGTCTGGTCTCGGTCTCAGTCCCGCTCTGGTCCCGGTCTGGTTTCAGTCTCGGTCTGGTCCTGGTCTGGTCCCGGTCTGGTCTCGGTCTCAGTCCTGCTCTGGTCCCAGTCTGGTCCCGGTCTGGTCTCAGTCCCGCTCTGGTCCCGGTGTGGTCCTGAACCTGGATCAGTCCTGGTTCAGTCTGTATGCAGTACAAAAGTCCGGCATCACAGTCACGGTAAACCTTTATCTGTTTTTTTTTTCCATTTATCATTTAAACACAAAATCAAAAACTGAAAAACAAATCCTTATCTGTTTTTTCATTTTGGTTTTGGAGACAAATAATGAAGAAAACAGTTGTTTTTTCATTTTCTTATTTTTGGTTTTATATTGAAAAACAAATGAACGAATGATACATGGATTGTGTGTGTTTGTTGTAATACTTTGGTAACACTACTCTGGAGAGGGAGGTGGTACACTTATCAAATGAAACAAAAAAATTAACTTAAATTTAAACTACTTAAAGAAGGGGTAAAAATCAACTATTTGGACAACCTTCTACCATGGTATAATGTTCCTTGTTACAATCCAAAATAGATCAAATATATTTAGGACGGGACCAGGAAGACAAAGTTAAGGATTGCACGTTCTTTTCTTTGTTTCTTTTTGTATTTTGAAAGATGGAACCTAAGAAAAAAACCCTTAACCTGTGCCCGCCCAAAAAAACAAAGTACCAAAGCAAAAGACCATGGTGAGCCGGCCAACATAAAACAAGGACGCTGCACTGGACAGGCCATAGAAGCTGCCAGTGCACCACTGTCCCCACCCTAACGAAAACGCAGCCCCAAAAACTATCTCTACGTAAAATAACAATGAAAACGGGAAGTCCGGACTCACCGAGGCAAACCAAAAAAATAAGCAAAGCAAACAAAAGGCTAACAAACTGACATATTAGAACGGTGGGAACGGCGGGGAGAGCGAGGCACACGGGGCTCATGCAATTTAAAGGTTCCTAGTGGAAATGAGAAGCAACCCAAAAAGAAGCTTTAAACATTCAAAAATAAGAATAACTTGCTAAACAAAACTGGGAAAAATACTACAAAATATAAACAAGGTGCCCAGACCTTTATCAAAAACATCCATGAAGAGGTCTTAAATGTCATCCATGCATCTTTGAGTAATTTAGCAATCTCTCCCAGGCCCTGTTTAAACTCTCCCTATGGTTAGCACTACGATTCTGTCCAGTGCCCAGCCGACAAGCCTACACTTGACTGTAATTAAGGCAGTCTTGCGTGATGTCACCAAGCACTTGAAATCTCAGAGGTCAGTGGAGTCAGGACCTACTCAGTTTTATATGTTTTTGATCAGAAAGCTGCAAATTAAAGCTCTAGGGACCATAGACAATGCCATTAAAACACCATAGACACTATGACGGAGTAACCCGTCATGCCATGGTGCTGATAGACATGCACACGCTCATACCGGTGTTTCACTTACCCGGCCGTTTACCGCTATGCCCGAGTTTTCCTCACATAGCCATCACAACAGTCAAGGGTGCACACTTGATTGTTGCTCAGACATTCCTTTCACCATAGCCATTGTTTCATTTCCAAACTTTCCTCCATGTCCGCCCTCCCCTCAGTGCGTGTGTCAGTCAAGCCCCAAGGTCTCAAAATGGTCGCCCATTCAAAGTCATTGAGCCAAGCTCATTGGTGCATAACTCCAGTTTAGCCTTTAGCCTGGATAGGTATTTCCGGTGGCTCCAGGTTGACTGAGCATGTGCAGTAGGTGCTGTTTTTTCCCGCGGGCACACGCCAATGCACAGGAGCACACGCACAGAGCGAGGTCTTGGGTATCACGTGATCGCTTTGACCAATCACAGCGAGAGGAGCTAGAGCGGAGCAGAGAGGAGCCGGAGCGAACGATCATGAGGCGTTTTTTAAGACAACTGAAGTGTTTTGAGCTGAGAAAAAGTTTATGATCTAAAAATAGGTAAAAATTACCATAAAAACCAACATTTTTGAAAGTTGTAGGTGCTCTGTCAGCCGAACACGAGCAGTTTTTACATTGCGCTCTATGAGAAAAATCCCTTCATGGACCAAGGGATTTTTCCGCTGAAGCTCCAGTGAGTGGCCACTACATCAAATGGAGGCAGCTACAAGCAGCAACACCCTATCCAGTTATTTTAATAGATCCATGGTGTCAGTCGGCCAACTTGAGGTTGTGGTCTTCCGCTTTATGCTGCATCACATGTAGGCTGTGCACATGTGACATCGTGAGTAACGTCATGTAATTTTCTGTTTTTGTAATGAATAAGAATATTTTTTTCCTTATCTGTGCTTAGAGATTAGTATTAGGGTAGTTTTTATGGTAATGTTTATGATTTTTCAGTATTAAAGGGGGAATATATCTGTTTCTATTTGTAGAGGAAAAGATGTTTTTCATTGTTAATTAATGTGGGGGAGGAGCCTCGTACTATAAAAAGGACTTCCTATCTCCACAGAAGCAGTGCATGTTAAGAGGAAGAGCTGTGTGCACTACAGACACCAGCTTTGAAACTATTCAAGGGCTGCTACAGACTGTAAATATATCTACTTTTTTTTTTTTTTTTTTCATTTTTCACTATTTTGTGCACTTCTGTAAATAAAATCACCAACACTTGGACTTGGACTACGCCATATTATATCTTTTTGGTTCAATTGGTGGCAGTGTTGGGAGTTTAATTCCACTTTAACAGATATTGATAGCCTAAAGCCACTCACCTGCCTGTTGACTCCAGCAGGTGGCGCTGTTGTCCCCTCTGCAGCGTGTCCCAGCTGGCTCTTACAGGGGCGAGGGCTGCCGTCTTTACTCAGGGCCCCGGCTTCTGCGATGTCCACTCCACTGTCCTCACTCAGCGTCTGCCCACTGTCCGACAACTGGGAGAGAGTGCCCCCTAGAGACCGTCAGTGCAAATGACATCAGAAATAATGCCCCAAATACTGACAGGCAATTTGGCTGAAATATGGTTTGAAACTGGGCCCATTTATTGTCTTAAGGACGTTACGAAATCTCTTGGGCAGTCTTTTTACTTTACGAAGGACAATCTATCTGTCAAATGTTAGTAAAGTCACAAAAAAATGACTAAGTGTATGAGATAAATTACTACTGCTACCATTACCATAAAATAAAGTTGTTGTGGCAAGTATTTTTTAGAGCATTTTCGTATATTCAGAACAGATACAATATTTATGATCCTCTAAATCAAGGGAAACACTGTCCTTGGCTGGTGTGTCCTTATAAAAGTCCCCAAAATCGTAAAAAAGTTTTAGTTTCACAATATTATTTAATCAATTATCTATAGAGTTATGAAATGCAAGTTAATAGTTTTATCAAATGTTCAATCAGTCAGTCTATCCATAGATCTGCTGGATTTAACAATGTGTCTCATCTACTTGAGTTATAACATCTGCTGCAATTTAAACATGGCAGAATGTCACAGTTTTACCATATATCAGATGCCCTCCCAACCCCTTGTAAAATTTAGATTTTAAATAAGCCTAACCATGTCCTCAGATCAGACATGAAATTTAATTTGATTACTAACAACTTGCCGATTCATTAATAATTCCAAAAACATGTCAGATATATTTAAGTTCTATTTTGGTATTTTGGTTCTCAAGATGATAATCCAGACAGAGTGGGCCTCGCGACTCTCTCATTTGGGTTGCCAGTTTCAATCCTAAAATCCAATTGGTTAAAACCTAAAGTGCCTCTCTCTGATCTGACTGGTCTCTACTTAAACTGCATCACCTGCAGCATCATGAGTCACAGCTAGTGCAGCCTCTGCAGCTGCAGTATATGCTCCACATACATGTACTGAGGGGAAGAAAAACTTGTTTCCTCTATTATGTGCTGGCAGGGCTAGCGTAGGTCAGAGACCTGCACGGGTCCATTTTTGGAGACCCACACCCCCCAGCACCCTCACAACACCACCACACTCACCCGCGCACTACAACACCACACCCACCCGCGCAATACAACACCACAACCACCCGCGCAATACAAACACCACACCCACCGCGCAACACAACACCACACCACCCGCGCAATACAACACCACACCCACCCGCGCAATACAACACCACACCCACCCGCACAATACAACACCACACTCGCCCGCGCAATACAACACCACACCCACCCGCGCAATACAACACCACACTCACCCGCGCAATACAACACCACACCCACCCGCGCAATACAACACACACCCCCCGCACATACACACCACACCCACCCGCGCAACACAACACCACACCCGCCCGCACCTGCGCAGTACAACACCACACCCACCCGCACAGTACAGCACCACATCCGCCCATGATTACCCTTGATTATATCAAAGTTAAATCCACACCTGCCCAGACAGTCCACCCGTTACCCACCCGTGCCCGTGATAAATAACACAGTGGTTGCCCTGGAACAGTCATTGTGAACTCTTTTATAAGCACCGCTCGCCAACTTAACTTTCATCTCGTCCGTCATGTCGATGCTTCTCAAACCATGAATGCTGCTGGGGAAAATTGCTACGGTCGCTGTTAAGTGACGTAGGCTGTAGTTTAAATATTTTAGCCCCTGTAGGAAGACTGAACACAATGTGATTCTGACAATTTGTACATGATAGTCTAGTACATATATACATATATATATTTGATTCATCTGACCTGCCCATGTGTATTCACTACCCGCCCACATACTGTACCTATTTGTGGTTACCCGTTGGGTACCGGTGCAGGACTCCGGCATAGGTTACATACAGTTGGCGTAGGTTACATACAGTTCTTTGTTATAAATCAGTTGTTATGCAAAAATATTGCCAAGTACATTTACTTAGCCAATCATATTCAAATTGTAATAGATTTTTGAAATACTCGATTTTGATACTTAAATAAAACTAAAGATACAGAAGCAAAAAAAAAAAAAAGTAAAAGTATCACATGAAAAAATCGACTGAAGTAAAAGTATTAAATGTACTTGAAGAGTAAAAAGGAAAAATATTTTTGTGCATATTTTGAGGTCTAATGAAGCTTCAAATGTAGAGGTTTTGATAAAGATTTGTGTTGAATTTTGTTGAGCAGAAACAATAGAACTGATTTTTATTGTTTTTTTCCAATCTGTTTTTATTTGTGTATCTTTGTTTGCTCAAATTACAAAAGTGTTAAAAAATAAACCCTCAGACTTTCAGCTGATCTCAAACAATAATAAAAAATACTTTTACTTATAATCTACATTTTTACTTAATTATATTACTTAACTACTTTTACTTCATTACATTCCACCACTGTTTAGATACAACCAAAGTGAAGAACACAAGGTAACGCTCACCTCTTTGTTGCGTCCGGCAGTCAGCTGTGAGGCGATTCCCGTCGACGATGACCTTGTGACCCAAAGCGGGGGAGCAGGGCTGGTCCGGAGAACAAGTGGAGGGCGCGGGGGTGATGAGGGCGGGGCAGGGCGAGGCACAGGGCGAGGGGTGAGGAGACGCCAGGGGAGATACACCTTTGGAGGAGCAGCCCGATTTGGACGAAACACAGGACTTCTCATAAGAGCTGGATCTGGAGTAGGCCTGGACAATGAGAGAAGACAATAATATTAACTTTCTAGTCATTAGTAATGGCAGTCAGATACACTATTTATGTTTAATGAGTTTAGTCTGTCAAAGTGCTTTCTTCTTTGTTTTTAGGTTTAGCAGTTGGCTCTGTGCACAACAATGATCGACCAGCTATGGACATTTGAGATGCTAAAGACTATTTGTGGCAGCAACTGTGACAGAAGACCTTCCAGAGGAAAGACTCCAAGACCTTCCAATGGAAACACTTTTGGCTCTTTATCTCCTCAAACTGCCCTGGCACAGTCCTGCTGACCTAACTGACGAGTTAAACTGCACTGAGACCTTTGACTGAGACATGAAGGTGACTGAGAATCACAGTGTAAATGTTGCCTGAGTGACTTGAAATGTAATATAGTTTTTGGTTTAATGGATTTTCTCTCAGTCAATATTACCCATGCATTATATTTTTGTGTCTGGTTGACTCTCACCTCTGCTTTTGCCGGTGCCGAGTTCGAATGAAGGAACATGGGGGCGTGGTTTCCCGAGGTGGGCCGTCCCGAGTGAGTGTGGTGGGTGTGGCAGTGGTGAGGGAGGGGCTCCGGGTGGTTGCATGGGTGAGGGTGGGGTTCTGGGTGAGGACATGGGTGGGGGAGTGGCTCCTGGTGGGCGCATGGGTGCTGATGCAGGGCGGACATGGACGCGTGGTGCCCGGGACAGCCGCGGGGGGAGGTGGGTCTCAGGGACTTGTGGAGGCAGTCCTGGAGGAGGCGGTTTGGACCGGACTGAACCAGGCGGGCCGAGGGGATCCTCTCTCTGGAGCAGCGGCTCGGGGGTCTGAAGAGGGGAGGGGACTGTCTCACCTGCACATCCTCCTGTAAAGAGACAAGAAGAAGGACTAGAACTTCTATCTGGGCCATACAATGATCTGGCCTGATTCATTCACAGCAGCATTAGGATTTGTTCTCTTGACGGTAGGCGGGTACTTTTTTTATTTAACCAGTCGTTGCTATTTGGTCTTGATGTATGTAATGCACTGCTAACGGAGCTAACTGGTATATTAAGCTTTTCTCAAATCCTGTGGAAGAAGGACAATAACATGTTTCCCTTTGATAAAATTCACCAAACATTCTCTTTGGTCTGGCTTTAAATCCTCGATCTCAGGAATCGTTGCCAACACAGAATGTATGGCTCTTCGCTGATTAGCTGGTGCCCGAACTCGCACTTCTGGGGTTCTTGCAAACTGTCAACTGTATTCTGATTCCTGACCTAGTCACTGGAGAGAAATTTAATTGAGCGGAGGCACTAGGTGGCGCCAGCCTGGCTAACAATGCTCTACACAGCCAGTCAAACGTTTGGACACATCTTCTTATTCAATGTTTTCTCTCTCTCTCTTTTGTTTACTACATTCTATATTAGACAATAAATAAATACAGAAAACAAGAAATATACAAAGTGAGAAAGAATTATGTAGCCATCCTTTGCTTTGTCAACAGTGCCGCAAACCCTTGGCCTTCTCTCAGTGAGCTTCATGATGAAGTCTCCTGAAATGGTTTTCATTTCAGGGCTGTTCCTTGGGTCAGAATGCGGTCAGAAGAGTTGTCAAAGCAGTGATTAAAGCAAAGCGTGGCTACATATTAGGGATGTAACAATAACTGAAATATCGTGATATCTTATCATCAAAGTTCTCACAATAATATCGTGGACCATCACTATATATCGAATTAAAAGTCTCTTTGCTTAAATTGAGAGTTATGGTGCAGCAATAGCTAAAAAAAAGTCAGAGGGAACTACATAGACCATGATCCTTTGCTCCATTTCAGTGCAGAGTACTAGAAGAAATAACAGTTCTAAGCACTTTTAAGTCTTATATCTTTGGACTGAGTTTTGTCATGTCATTTTAAGAGTGAAAAAGTAGCATATTCAGTTTTGTTATCCTCCACAAAATATCGCAATAAATATCATACCGTGAGCTGTATATCATGAAAATATCCTACAGAGAGACTTGGATATTGTCACCTCCCTAATCATGAGGCTTCCCACCATTTCATGAGCTTTCCCACGATATCGCAATAAATATCGTACCATGACGTTCATAGCGTGACAATATTGTATCGGGAGACTTGGATGTCGTTATACCCCTACTATATATACATAAATAATACTAATAATGATAAAACCGTTGAGTTATTTTGAGTTTATTTGTGTTTAGTACATTCCCAGGGTGTTTATTCATTCAGTTCTAATGTCTTCAGTTTGACTCTACAATATAAATAGTCAGACATAAGAAACTTTTGACTGGCTGTATAGATTCAACCTTGTCAAACATTCTATTAATTACCGCTTTCAAAATCACTACAACACTACGGAACTCAATTTGATTTAATAAATAAAATAAACAGATCACAAATTATGAATGTCCTGCTGCTTTTGAAACCTCAGATCACTTTTACTGCGCTTTAAAAGATGTCTGGTCTGGTCCTGTCTCTCTGATTACCGATGGGCGTGACAGACGTGACTAACATGCAAACGCAAATGTCAAGAAGCTCTAAACTAAATCTAAAGTAAATATGAGGCTAAACAAGTTCGATTTTTTTCTTCAGAATGATATGCGCATATTCGGGAACACGTCTTCTGCATACAGTTTGAGTTAGTTTGAAAATAAAGAGGAAAATAATAAAGAAATAAAGTCGTAGCAGAGTATCAGGTTGTTTGGGGTCTGATTTTCTTCTTCTAAATTTCCTCTTAGGATCCTTGAGTTCAGATGACTTTTTCTCACTGGACCTGGTGCGTGACTTGGGTCTTAGGCACAACCCTGCTAACCCTCAGACTCATGCTTTGAAATGCATGAGATTTACTTTTGTAATTTCAGCCTCCTTTCAAATATTAATTCTCCTGGGGGGGTAAAAGTGGACTGAGCAGAGAGGCACAGATTTCTCTACATTTGTCAGCTCTAACAATCAGCAGGAGCCAAAATACTCCTCTGTCTTCTTCAGATGATTGGTTTATACAGTGTTTTTATGTTTAGTCACACCTGCCTTTCAAAGCACACGGGCTCTCTTAGCTTTGGTGATTGTGTCAGAAATAACACTCGTTTATACGCCTCAGATATTCTGCCATCAGAGAAATTCAAGATTAAAAAGTGATTCCAAATGGAGCCAAAAGCACCACAAAATCAGAACCCATTGTACATCTGCCAAAATAGAAGGTGCACTATGTAACTTTTCTGGTAGTGGTGGTGGTGGGGTGGCGGGGGCGAGTGCGGTCTGCCAGCTACTTGTCTCCATGGAAACATATTGCCTTGCCTGGAATGGTCTTCTTATAATAATTGATCTATTTTGCATTTTTCCTCAGTTACGCGTTATTATTTTCACTGAAACATGCATTTTTATACCGGGAGAGGGGTCACCTCTCCACAGATTGGACGTGTAACATTTTGATTCTACTGCTCATACTACTCTTACAGAAATGCAAACACTGGTACAACTGCAGATGTCATTGCTACAACTCTGCAGGGGATGGAAAAGTTCAGTTTAATATGATATTTGAACTGTCCATGCCTCTGAGATGGGAAATAAGCATAGACTGTAGAAAGAAGTGAATGTCACCCATAGTGTTTGGCTCCAGTCAAATGTAGCTCAGCAAGACTAGCAGGTATAGGGGCAAATTAAGAGCTGGTTTGGACTTAGGTTACGTTTACACTTAAACGAATCACTGTATCACCATATTGGAAATGATTTGTGACCAGACACATCGTTTCTGTGTCCATTCCCTATCCACACAGTAACACAAAACTGCCTGAAACACTAGTCACATGACTAGGCTGGCGTCATGTCGTCACAATGTCATGTGGGCAGTAAAAACAAGGAAGTGGAGCAACGTGTCTGAAGTTGCAGCAGCCGATTTCAAGCAGAGGAAGATGGCAAGCGAGAAAGTAGAAGTAGTTCTAGCTACGCTGTTTCCCATTTGTCTATGGTTTATTTAAACTGTTTTCTTCAATAGCGTCACATGACTGATGTCACGAACCCAGCGAATCAGGAAGGAGCAAGTCACAGTGACGTGGTCCAATAAGGACAGCAACTAGAGCTCCTATGTCAGCATATCAATGTTTTCAGGCATCCACACAGTGCTGGTCAGATCTGTACTCAGATGAATTCGTGGGAGATGGCAGCACCAGATCATTCTGTCTCTGGAGTCGTTTTCCATCAGATTAGAGTGGACCAACACTGCATCCACCACAAAAACAACTTGAATACATACTAGTGTGGATGGGGCCTTAGTCAGAGTAAGACACATTCCAAGTACTTCAAGCCAGTTCCATTATTTGAAAGTATCTTCTGGATGAGAGCTGAATGGGCGTCTCAATCACAAAATCAGAGACCTGATGACCACCGATTAAACTCTTCTCTATAAATGACCTTATCTCTGTTAATCCGAGGTGAGAGAAATTTTATTTTGTGGCCAGACCTCCTTCTCAAAACCTGATCTCGTTATATCTCAGGAGCTAAGCAGAGCCGCGCCTGTGGTTAGTATGTGGGTGGGAGCCCGCTGGGATTTCCAAGTGTCACAGTGGGGCGCCAATGGCAAAAACTGATGCTGTGTCTTTACCATGGACTGTATAATAAACTGGACTTAGAGCCTATTTACACGAGAACACAGGTAAAAACGACAAAATATTTTATTGGAAGTGCCTTTCGTTTAGACGGTGACGGCGTTTTGGGGCTTAAAAACACAAAAATCTGAACCCACCCTCCAGAGTGGAAAAGTTGAATACACTTTGCTGTAGTGTTTCCATCTACACTGCCCAAAATGCAAAACTCTGGTCAGATCTGCTCACGTTGCGTACGCGTTTACATCACCACCGAGCCGCCTGGCATGCATACACAATCAAGTTCCACACACTTTTGCGTCACCGTATGCACGCAGATTTCCTCCTGAAGTGAAGACGCGACATCACTTTTGCGTCTTCTGTTCAGACCGTCATCATATATATGTAGCCTAAGCGAGTGGGACGTCACCATAGCGTTCAGCGCCACTAAAATGAAGCTCAAAGAAGCAAATTTGGAGCCAGGTTCTATGTTATGAATAGGGTTTTATTAACGGACAAAATTGCTAAAAAAACCCCCACCAGGATCATGTAGAACGGGTTAATACGAACATTTTAAGACCAGAATGATGAGACTCACAGCAGCATTACAGAGAAAGGGCCCACAATATTCCAATGTTAATCAGTGGGAGCCAGGATCAGTAGGAGCCGGAAGAGCCGCATGCGAGCTTCCTATTTTGAATGTGGTGGCTAGAGCGTTTCCTCTGTCTAGGCTATGGTCCTTACGCAAGACACTTCATCCACGTTGCCTGGTATGAGAGTGGTGTGTGTGAGATGAAGATGGTAGGTGGTTGGAGAGATCGACGGCGCAGATTGGCAATGAGTGAGGAGTGAATGAATAATGCAAAGTGACCAATGAGCTCCTTCATTTCACATGTCACTGAAATAAACAAATCGAATTGCGTGGCACTGTCTGAATCTGGCTCGAGATGCAATTTAGCGCATGTGACCAGCCCGAAGTCCCTCTGTATAAAAATACAGAGAGAGATCATCCACGACCTGCCATGTATTTTCAACTGCTCCAGCGCATTCTTTGTATCATTCTTCTCGCGTTTATTGAATTTGACTAAGTGTGTTATAAATCATGAGTACTTTGGGTCTTCCTGTGCCCTGTCCTGTTTGCTGTCACACAGGTAAGACTCAGAGCTGCAGGGCACCACATCACGAAGACAAATTTCAGCCCTGATGACTTAATGTGGAGCTCGGAGGAGTTCAATACTCATTTAAACTAAGTACTGCAGGCGACTCACTGCTGTTGGGCCAGAACTC